GGCCAGATTTGAACTCAGGTCTTCCTGACTCCAAGCCTGGCATTCTAAAAGTTGATATCAACCCAATAATGACCATACCTTGTGTCCAATAATTCACCAAGTTCACATTCTACCCACTAGTAGTCTCATTTAGCCCGCATCGACTTATTGTGTGACAAGGATAGCATGTGAGACACTGTCACGTGTTTCCTGAAACCCAGGTATTCTATGTTTGTGCCAGTTTCTTAAATCTACCAATTTGTTAACCCTGTAAAAAGGTAACTGACATTCATATGGTGATTTAAGGTTTACAAAGCACTTTGTAGATGGCTTTTCATTTTATCTTCATCACAATCTTATAGTCAATGTCCATTTATTGTACTTTGCTATTTTACTATTTTAAAAAATAGTTTTAAAATTAAATTAAATTTAATAAATTTGAATGTTAAATTAAATATAATATAAATAAATTAAATACAAATAACAAGTAAAATAATATAAATATTAAATATAATAAAATAAAAATAAAAAATTTAAAATGGTTAAACATTAGGCTTCTGGTGTTTGCTGGATCAGCTACTCATCCCATGGGTGAATTTTTCTATGGGATATTAGTGTTTAGTTTAGAGGCAGCTATAATAATTGGATATAATGCTGGCTGTGGGGTCAAGAAGATCCACGTTCAAATCTGGCCTAGACATCTATAGCTGTGTGACTTTGGGCAAGTCACTTTACATCAGTTTCTTCATCTGTAAATTGGGATGATATGCAATAATATATGTAAAATGCTATGTAAGTGGTAGCTATAATTCTCAGCAAGCAGGCACACAGAAAAAGTACTTTGTAGCAGAAGAAAATTCATGCAACTTTTGTGCTTGAGACATAAAGCTAGAGAATTCAATAATTGAACAATTATTTATTGATCACCTACTGTGTAGTAGAGAAATTATTCCTGGGCATTTTTTTATTCCCAGATTCTCAGTGATGGAAGGAGAGTTAATACGATTTCTGTACAGTATCTGGGTGCACAGATCATATGGAATGCTGGTCTTGGAGTCAAGTAGACCTGAGTTCGAATCCTACCTCAGACACCCTTCTAGCTGTATGACCCTAGGCAGCACACTTCACCTCTCTCAGGTTCAGTTTCCTCACCTCTAAAATGGGATCCTTGAGTTTGTTGTGAGGTTCAAATGAGAGAACTCATGTGAGCTGTTTTGCAAACCTTAAAGCACTATATAAATGCTCATTATTATTATTGTTGTTTGTTATTTTCTCTCTCATAAATGACTTACCCAGGGTCACACAGCTAGTAAGTGTCTGAGGCTAGCTTTGAACTCAGGTCCTCATGACTTCAGGATCAGTGCTCTATGCCCTACACCACCCAGCTGCTCCTTACCAATCTCTTAAAAGGAAAATGTTCAGTCAGTGCCTAGGATTAGCACATGTAGCTCCCAAGTCACTGGGGGTATACATTCTCTGTTTTTTCTATGAAAGAAGCCCAAATTTTCATTTGCTATTTTTAGTCTCAGGCCATTGATTTTTTTCTAAGAAAGGAAGTGTAAAAAAGAGAGAAGGGACAGTTAGGGCCATGCTGATGTGTTAGAAGTGATCAGCTCATGGACCACTTTGATCATACAATTTTTGGAATTTGTATGATTTGGAATCATGAAAAATTCTGGAATTGACACTCTAGATCCACTAATCTAGCCCTTTTATTTTAAAAAGGAGGATGTATAGATCCAGAGAATGAAGTGACTCATTTAAGATAATTCAGCCATTGAGTGGCAGAGCTGGGGTTAGAACCTAGGTCTCTTAATTTTTAGGCCAGTTTTCTCCCCCTTCAACTCAATAAACATTTTTGAAGTTCCTGCTGTGTCCAGGACACTCTGTTTGGTGTTGGAAATACAAGTCCAGTCAATGAGTATTTATAAAGTTCCTCTATTATGTGGCAGGCACGGTGCCAAGTGCTGGGGATACAAAGAAAGGCAAAAATCAGTCCCTGCCCTCAAAGGGCTCACAGTCTAATGGGGGAGACAACTGTATACAGAAGACATACATGCAGGATAACTAGGAGATAATCTCAGAGGGCAGGCACCAAGATCTACTGGGTTGGGAAAGGCTTCTCTCTGTGGAGGTAGGACTTTATGGGAGATTTGAGGAAAGCTGGAGAGGCTAAGAGGTGGACCTGCATCTACCTCTTCTCTTCCTACCCTGTAGAATGCTAGATTTTTGAAGGCACAAATTGGTTTATGTATTTATTTATTTTGTCTGTGTGTGTCTGTGTACGGATAATATCCATCATTGTGCCTGGTACATAATAGGAATTTAATAAATACTTATCTAATTGAATTTTTTAAAAAAATTGTTCCTGCCCTCAAGGAGCTTACATTCCACTGGAGATTTCTACTATGCCACATGATTTTCCACTTATTCCAACCATTCACTATCCAATCAATATCAATGGCAGTTGAATATTGAAGTGGGGGGAAAAAAATCTACTCCAAACACTCAAAACCCCCAGATACTGCAAAATTCTTAGTTTGACGCCACATATCTACATCATTTAATCAATAAAATGTTAATGACATTCTATTATGTCTTGTCCATAATATCCTGCTTCATTTGACACTTATGGATAGGTAGGGTCAGATAGGGACCAGAGTAATTAAATGGCTTGGAGTCCTTTTGGAATATTAGGGCTTTTCCTCTAGGCCTTTGGACAAGGTTTGTGTCAATGCTAGTCTACTTTCCTCATACTAATGGCTACTTCTGATGGTTATAAAGGCTATACTCTCTGGATCCATAGCATCAAGGACATTTATTGAAAATTGGATCTGTTACTTCGTTGCTGTAAGGAATTCTGGGAGAGGACTCCCTCTGCTTATGTAGGTCAGCAAACTTATAATCTTAAACTTACCATTTGCTCTGAAACTTAGAGTCTTAAGGGTTTCCTGAAGAATTGAGAGATTTCAGTGACTTGCCCAGGGTCACACAGTCACTATGTGTCAGATATGGGTCTCGAGCTTAGGTCTTCTGATTCTAAGGCCAGCTCTTTAGCCATTATTTACTGCTGCCTTTGTGGGATTATGATAGCTATATGTACCTTTCATAGAATCATAGATTTATTGTTCTAAAATACCTTGGAGTCTACTTTAAACCTCTCATTTTACAGATCAGGAAACTGGGACTCAGGGGATTTTAATGACATACTCAGAGTCACACAGATAATAAAGGTCTGAGGAAATATTTGAACCCAGATCTTCCTAATTTCAAGTCCAGTGCCTAACATTATACCACGATGTCTCTCACTTGGGGAAAGAATACTACTGCTCCATCCTTCATTAGTAGGGTTTGGCTTCTGTTGTTTTTCCAGTCTTGGGAATGGATTTACATTAATCCATCCACATTTCCTCATGGAGTTCTTGTGACTAGTAGCCAACAGGTCTTAAAAGGGCAGTTTGTGGTCATGGAACAGACCCACAGAGCCAAATTAGCTGACTTATCCAGGGATCTAATCTAAGATGTGGGTCTCATCAACAGAAATGCTCTAACTAAATGATCTAATTGGCCACACAGCTTGAGAGTCAGAGCAGAAAATTAGAATTGCGTAAGCACACACAGACACACACAGAAAAACATTTTATAGTTGAGGAAAAGGGGAAATTGAACATCTTGCTAGGGATATAGTCTCAAAGTGTGGGGCAATCTGGGGCATCAAGAGCCAGGCCGTGGCTTTAGGGGTCTGGTGTCCAATAGCAGGATGTGGGACGGGGAAGATGCTGAGTAAAAGGATTTGGAATGGAAGGTACAGAGGAGGAGTTGAACATCAGGGAGGGCTTCAGCTTCAGGCCAGGACTCCAAGGACTCCAGGGTTACACAAGTCTCTTGCTTCCATTTCCAAGTATATAATCTTTGGTTAACTCATGAGCATGATCATGTCATGGTCCGCTTCTCCTAACTACAGTTAGTTCTTCTAACTAACCAGTTTTTAAATATGTGAATCCTCCTGCCACAACACCACCACCACCACAACAGTGCAACCTTACTGTCTGCAAGTTACATTATGTTGTTATGTTATATTGTGCTGTGTTGTGTTGTCAGTCAGTAAGCACTTATTAAGCACCTACTATGTGCCGGGCACCATACTGAGCACTGAGGATACAAAGAAAGGTGAACAGTCTTTGCTTTCACTTGAATTTTAGTCCAATAGGAGAGACAATAGGTAAACAACTACATACAAACAAAATATGTACACGATAACTTCGATATAAGCAACAGGAGGAAGGCACTGGAATTAAAGGGAATTGGGAATGGCTTCTTGTAGAAGGTGGGATTTTAATTAGGCTTCGAATCAATCTGGGGAAGCCATAAGGCAGAGATGAGGAGGGAGGAAATTCAAGGAATGGGAAGCAGCCAATGAAAATGCCCATAGTTGGGATATCAAGTGTTGTGCAAAGGACAGCAAGGAGATCAAAGTACTCTTCCTCCAGAGCATGTGGAAATGCATAAGGTGTAAAAAGCTTGAGAAGTTAAAAGAGGGCAAGGTTATAAAAGGCTTTGAATGCCAAATGGATGATTTTATATTTGATCCCAGAGATAAGAAGAAATCACTGAAATTTATTAAATGGGAGAGTGACATGAGAAGAAGGGAGGGAATAAGGAATAATGTTAAACACCTAGTATATGCTAAAGATTGTGCTAAGTATGATCTCATTTGATCCTCACAACAACCCTAGTAAGTGCTATTATTAGTCTCATTTTACAGTTGAGAAAAGTGAGGCAGAAGTTAAGTGACTTACCCAGGGCCACACAGTTAGAAAATATCTGAGGTTGGATTTGAACTAAGGTCTGGCACTTTGCCACCTAACTGCCTCAATATAGTTAAACCTGTGTTTAGGAAGATCAATCTGTGTTGTGTTATCACAATCACAATGCTGTGTTATGCCATGCCAATTAGAGGAAAGTTGCAGTGTTTCCTGAAAGCCTTCTAAAGATTTTCTTTGTGTGTCTATGTCTACTAGGTAGATGTCAACTCCATCCATAGTCCCACTGGATTGACATGGACGAGGCTCGTTCAGGCAGCTTGTAGCAGCCAGGAGCAGAACCTAGAAGCTTACTTTGAAAACAGTCAGCTGTATTTCTGCCCCACAAGGAAGATCAGCCAAAATGAAGAGATCTTTATTTGGTATGACGAAGAGCTTTCCTGCCTCCTAGGTTTCCAAGATATTAAAGCCAGACCTCTCCATAAAGGTAAGAACTTTTCCAAAAGAAATCCCTATGGAGCAATTAAGGTGATGGAAAGTCAACTCCTTAAAAAATAAATTTCTCCTAAGTGGGAAAATAATGTTTCCTCAAAACTTTTGTAAAAGTCATATCATAAATAGAATTGTAGAATCTTAGAGTTGAAAAGTGTCATGAGGTCATCTATGTAATAATGATGTCTGTGCAAATGGAGTTCTGATATACATATGCATATTCACATATCTATACACATAATTGTATATATATATATACACACATATGCATATGCATGTATGTAAACATATATTATGTGGTGTAATGGATAGAGGGGCAGCTAGGTGGTGCAATGGATAGAGTGCTGTCTGGAGTCAGGAAGACATGAGTTCAAATCTAGCTTTAGACACTAGCTGTGTGACCTTAGGGGAGTCACTTAATCCTGTTTGCCTCAGTCTCCTCATCTGTAAAATAAGCAAACCATTCAGAGAAGGAAATGGCAAACCACTCCATTCTTTGCCAAGAAAATCCCAAAAGGGGTCATGAATAGTTGGGCACTATTGAAAGTGGCTGGAGAGAAGGTGTAGTAGACAGAGAGCAGGTATAGTGGATAGGAAAAACTGGGTTGAAGTGCTACCTGTGGCATTACTGGCCAGGCGACCCTAGGAAAGTCACTTAGCCTCACTATTCTGGGCATGTCTCTAAGGTTACAATGTGCAGTAAAGGTGCTGACCTAGGGAGTTTCCTCACCCAGAAGTTCCATGTACCAATGAAATCAAGTCTAGGTCCTATCTCTGTTCCCATCTGTTGAGTAGTTCAGCCCTAGAAATATGCTACAACCTGCTTGAGTGCATTGTGCCTCTTCCTTTGCCCCCAAGTAAGACACAACTTTGATTTCTCAGACATCGTGATGTTGCAAGATTGGCAGTCATATGGCATGGATGGGAGAACAATGTATTGAAAAGACATATTTTTGCTCCAAGGAGCAGCTTGGGATTGATAAAACCAAATGCAATCCAGGCCATTCTCTTCCTCCTGTTCACTTCTATCCATCACTATTATCCATCTGCAGTACCTGTGTCAAATTATGTAGTGATGTAACTCAATGGATTGACCATCCAACTATGTTGGGTTTATAGTCCAGGCAATAGTCATTTTTTACCCATTTAGATTTTTCCTGTAGAGGTCCTCAGGCCAAATACCTTTGAGTAGTCATGGAACACACTGGGGAAGCCCTATTCTCCATGAATTCTCAAAGATTCCTGACGGTGTTTTAGCAAGCACATTTACAATTTCTCACACCACTAGGAAAACTTGGACTCTTTTAAGACATTTAAGTCCTGTCTTGTTATCTACTTTTTAATTCTGGGCTTCAGTTCTAGAGTGTGCAGCAGTACTGAGCTCTCTCCTGGTCCTCTGGTTCCATGTCTGGGAACTAGTCCTTTAAGTCAGAGGATCAAGGCCTTTAAAAATGTTTCTAATGGACCAGTTGAGAACTAAGACATGACTACTTGAGAACGTCTGTTTCTCTCTCTCTCTCTCTCTCTCTCTCTCTCTCTCTCTCTCTCTCTCTCTCTTCTCTCTCTGTCTCTCTCTCCCTCTCTCCTCTCTCCATATATGTGTACTTTGAAAATATAAAATAGGCTTAAATATAGATCTCAACAGATAGGATACCCTTTCTATGAATGAGGAGCTGTCTTTGGCAGATCTGGGCCTGGAGGGATAGACAAGGCTGGTGTCTGATGTCAGACATGTGACTGCTGCCCACAGAGCGTCCTGTGGTAACCAAAGACAGCACAGAACTCTGCACAGTCTGTCAAAAAGAAACTGAGTTGGTTCTGGGTTGGGAAAAGTCAGAGCTGATGCAAGTTTGGGGGCAGAAGAAAATTAAGGATGTGAGGAAATGTGAGGCCTGGAAGGAGATTGGCAAGCTTCAGTGAGATCCATGTTTTCTGCCATGAAACAAACCACGCAGAAAAGTTGAGGTTAAGAAGATCTCCTGAGTAACAGAAAACAACTTCTCAGATTGCTAGAGCTGTCACAGAGGCAGGCATGAAGCTTGACCAGAGATGACCTGGCTGCTCCTCTGAGGAATGCAGGGAGTGGCAGATCTCTGGGCCCCAGTGTTAGGGATGAAATTTTGAAATTGGGTCATGATTCTTTGCTTAAATGGCACTTCTAGTGACACTTCTCTGTCCCTTCTCTTCTAGACACCTTTCCAGTTTAATTTATTCTTTACTTACTCTCTAAGTACAAATCATGAAGACGTTATTCTCCCTCAAGGGAGAAAGCTGATTTACATAGGTCTGCTATTTTGTTGGCTTTGTTAAAGTGTTGGCATTGACCATAAACTCCTCCCAGTGAGCTGTGTCTTCAAAAGTTCAGGCTACTGTTGGAAGAGGAATCCACACAGTCCTGCAGCACAAAGTTTTCAGTGAGACCATCCCACAGTATGACTTAGTGAGTAGAAGTCAATTTCCTAGGCCATGATCTTATTTGATGCCTGACTTTTATCACTGGGTATGGCCAATAACCAAGATCCTTTAATAGGAACTGAATAAGAGAGCAAAAAGGAACTCGTGAAGGCAGGTGTGGCATGAGCAGACAGCCAGAGAATATAGATATAGATGTGGGGTGAGGTGAGATGGATTGAGAGTTAGCTAGAGTGGAGAAGAAATAGCAGAAGTCAACCAATCTAAACAATTGCCTGGCATTTGTTAAGCATTTACCACGTGCTAAATACTGGGGATATGAGGAAAGTTTTAAAAAAAAAACATGGTCCAAGAAAAAGTCAGAGAGAGAAGTATTATTTGCATGACCTCTATACTTCCTTTTTTGGTCATATGTCTTTTTGAGGTTTTCTTTTATGCTACGTCATGTGCATAATTCATTGTTTGGAATATGCTGCTTATTTATGCCTACTTGGCCAGTTTTTCCCCCTTGTTCTTTGGGGAACCCACTATTTTGATTCTGTGTTTCATGATTTGAAGCAGTATGGCATGCCCAGGAGAATATTCATGTTAAAAAAGAGGTTTTTTTTAGAGAGAAGCTTGGGGTTATCAAAAGGGCTATACTATTTCCCAAATGCCGTCTCACCTATTCTTCCTCTTATTTATTTCTGGGGATTGTTCAATGACCATCTGCACTGTCTGTCTTTAGTAAATGCCTTTGCTTTAAGCTAATTGTGTGCTTTAGCTTTTATTGAAAAGTAAACACATTGGTTGTAGATTCAAGAGATATAATTTTAGAAGGATGTATCCACAAAGTACTTTGAACCTGGGGTTGCCATCCCTTGGGGAACTGCCCTTCAAGTTAGGGGCTAGTGCAAAGGGACACTGCACATATATGATCAAATGAACATATGATCATTAATTTCCTGCCAGTAATAGTTATTTGTTAACTACCCACCATTTCACCTTATTCTTGAAGGTTCTACTCTTAGTTTTACTCCCATGCCATGATAGCCATGGGAAAGGGACAGTAGTTGAATCCATCCTCCATTTACCTTTCTACTAGGGAGCTTATGCTTTGCTTTCCTCATTAAGCTTCATCATCTCTTCACAGAATAGTAGCATAATGAAACAGAATACCTACCTGAGTTCAAGTCCTGACTGAGACTAGCTATATGATCTTGGGCAAGTCAATTTCCCCATTTTAGGCTCAGTTTTCTTGCACATATGTAACAAATTCTAGGAGTTTATGGACAATCTCCCTTTCTTGTTACTCCTGACTTTACTCAGGGTCTGGATTAAGATGCTTGACACTGGCTCAGTCAATAAATTGCAGGAAATAGATTACTTAGATATTTTATCACAACCTGAAGCAAAGCAGGTTGATTTGATTAGGAAAAGCATGGCAATACCAAGCAGTAGCAGGCAGAAGAGCACAGGTCTTTCCTAGGGTCAAAGTTCTATTCCACATAAGCATGGATCTGGATCTAATTTTACCCATTCCCAATGCATCTTCTGTGAAATGGGTGGGGAAACTAGGCATCTGTTCATGAAAATGGCTTGAACAACTGGCAGAAAGTTTTGGAGTGCACCAATTGCTTTGTATGCCTCAGAGCATGGCTAGATTCTTGGTACTGGATTGTACTTTGGCTCAGCAGAGTAAGAATGAAGAATTGATCTCTCCCCACCCAGATATGGAACATAGAAGACTCTCTATCCTATCCTGATTGAACGGATGTTCACATGGCCACACCCATATTAATTACTGCTGTCCCCCTTACTCTTAGATCTTTCTGTCCTCTCCCTTTTTCAGTTTACTTAGCCAAACCAGTCCCCGGCGCCTTGGATGCCAAGTCTCCTGGAAAGCAAGGGCAACTGATGATGAAATAGAAATGTCCCACTAATGGCACTGCCAGGAAACAGCTTTCAGGGGGCAGCTAGGTGGCACAGTGGATAGAGCACCAGCCCTGAAGTCAGGAGGACCTGAGTTCAAATACGGCCTCAGAACAAACACTTGACACTTACTAGCTGTGTGACCCTGGGCAAGTCACTTAACCTCAATTGCCTAAAATAAAAAAAAGTAAAAAGGAAACAGCTTTCAGAAAAAATTGAGACTTCATTGGAGTAGACTTGTTTTTTAACACATAAAATAGGAATACTACTTGCATTACATCTTGGAATTGAGAGGAAAGCACTTTATGAACCATAAAGTTTATTGATTGTCGCTGTTATTAATACTATCATTGTTATTATCATTATTATCACAGTTTTACTGCGTCCAAACAGACCTTCTTCCTCAGAGTTTTGGTACTTCCAAGTCTGACTGTGCCCTAATTCAGTAAGTGCTATATTCAGAAACCTGGTGCTTCCCCCCACCCTCCAGCCCTGTCCCATAGTAATACAAAGTTCCATCTCCCAAACCCTGATTGTGTATGAGCTGTCTCTGTTAGGGTTTCAGGGGGAAGGATGCAAAGTAGTTTCCATAGTACGACGCTTTCCACAAAGTGGTCAGAGATTGAATCACAGAATTCCACGGAGTGTTTGTTGACAAGACAACTCAGGTTAGAGATTACATCACCAAGTCAATCCAAATGTACGTCATTCAGTCTTTCCCTCCCAACTATCTTTTGGCTTTGCCTCCTCTGTAAGGCCCCCCTGTCCCATTGGTGAGTTCCTCCTGGAGTCCCCATTTGTGGAAAGGTCTAGGTCAGTCTGTCTCCAATCACCTCCCTGCTCTGCTCCTGACTTTCTGGATGTCAGAACCACGGATTTTGCTCTTCTTTGCCACTCTTCCCTCCACTTGCTTTTCAGCTCCCTTGTATGTGTCTGCTCTATTAGATTGTAAGCTCTGGGGTCAGGGATTGTCTTTTTTTCCTTTTTCTGCTTGCACTTGTATCTAGTGCTTAGCACGGTGACTGGCACGTAGTATCCTTTTCTTCCTTGAGACTCATACAAAATGTACTGAGGATAGCCACCACGGGAGAGAGATGATATGGAAAAAAAACAGGCAGAGAAAATGATTGGTAGGGTTCCTTCCTTCCTTCCTTCCTTCCTTCCTTCCTTCCTTCCTTCCTTCCTTCCTTCCTTCCTTCCTTCCTTCTTCCTTCCTTCCTTCCTTCCTTTTCCTTCCTTCCTTCCTTCTTCCTTCCTTCTTTCTTTCTTCCTTCCTTCCTTCCTTCCTTCCTTCCTTCCTTCTTCCTTCCTTCCTTCATTCCTTCCTTCCTTCTTTCCTTCCTTCTTCCTTTCTTCCTTTCCTTCCTTCCTTCCTTCCTTCCTTCCTTCCTTCCTTCCTTCCTTCCTTCCTTCCTTCCTTCCTCCCTTCCTTCCTTCCATCTCTTGTGCTTACATTTTTCATCTTTGATGACAATGGCAACTTCTCAAGCAAGAAATGTCACAGCAGTAATCTGAATAATTTTAAAAAAACCACTTCACACACTCAATCAGTTGCTAATTATTATTGAACAGAGTGCTAGACTTGGAGGCAGGAAGACCCGACTTCAAATTCAGCCTCAGACACTAGTCATATGACTCTCAGCAAGTCACTTAAAAACATTTGATCTTTGCCTGTTTCCCCACATATTAATCTGATGATGAATTGCGCCAATCTCCCAGGGTTGTTGTGAGGATAAAATGAGGTAATATTTATTTGTAAAATGCTTCGCAAACTTTAAAGCTCTATATAAATACTAGCTCTTATTGAAGTAATATCAATATCTCCTTTGTCTTTATTATTATGATTGTAGTCTTTATTAGGCCCTGTTTATCTCTCAGTTTATTATAATGTTCCTATTCATTAGACTCCCACCTTGGCCATTGTACCCTGCCAGTCAATTTCTCTGCCTGTTATTTTTATGTATCTCCTCCCTCCTTATGGTGGCTGTCCTCAGTACCTTTTGTATTAGTCTCAAGACCTTCAACCTGATCTCTAAGTCTTTTAACTTGGGAACCTGGGAACTACCTCACGTTCTCCATCTCCTCTATCTAAGACTAACTTACTCAGAACTCCTTTATCTTATTCTCACAATCCAACCTCCAAATCTTTAGACCATAAAATGTCCACACTTGATCCTACCAAGCCAATTTTTTTCCCCATCATTCAAATGGCTCCTCAAATCCTACCTCCCTACTGAAGCCCTCCTACCTTGATTAGAGGAGACATGACAGTTGCCTTCTTCTGGATGTAGATCTCCTGTGGCTTCTCCTTCTGTTCACTATTCCCCAAATGTACTTGCCTGTATTCTGAGCAACAAAATACTTTTGACAGATACATCACTCAAATACAATTCCTGTTTGTTGTTCTAGCTTCCTGCTCCATGGAATTGGGCACAATGTCAACAGAAGGCTCTGTTTCAACGGATCCTAGCAATCTGGAATCTTTGTTTCTTCTTTGTTATATAACCCAAAGACTGTACCAGTGTCAATTCATTTAATATAGAGTTTCTTCAAATCTTTCCCCTATAATACATGCCCCAGATTTCTCCATCTAATTATGCTATTTTGCTGCCTAATAAATAACCTGTCCCTAATTATTTTTGAACATCTTTTTTCTGGAAGAATCTGTGGTTTCAGGGTTTTTTTTGTTACTTAGTAACTACATTATTCACATGGTATCAAAAACTTATCTATCTCTGCCAGTACCCTATCTTGTCTAGATTAATTTGTTCCTGTTTTGTGTCTTGTATTGAAGGGCCCTCTCAGCCTGGTATCTTAATCTCAGGGAATATTCATACTGATGCTGCAATGTCTCCGTATCAATACAATAAGCAGAGCAAAGCAGAGGTATAGAAATAGTTCGGGGCTTAACCATTTCCTGCCCAACATTTCAGTAGCTGTGCGACATTGCTATACTATGGTCCTCTCCAAGCTCCCTTACAATAGTTCTGAGTATCTTAATCAGTCAACTTTTATCAAGCATCCTACACGACAAGAACTGTGCTAGTCACTAGGAATACAACATCAAAACCACAATAATGTTTGCCCTCATGGAGCTTACATTTTTGTGAGAGGAGAAACATATATACCCATGGGTGTGTATGTGTATGTGAATGTTGTGTGTATGTATATGTGTACATACAAAAGAAATAATACAAGTTAACATGGGGAAGGAAAGATACTAGCATCTGGGAGAGCCAGGAAAGGATTCATGAAGAAATTGACTCTGGAGCTGGAAGCTAAGTGGTATAGTAGATACGTCAAGACATCTGAGTTCAAATCCTGCCTCAGACATTTACTAGTTATGTGACCCTTGAAAAATCATTTAATCTCTTTTAGCTTCTATATCTTAGCTGTAAAAGGTAGATAATAGTAGCGCCAATGTATCTACCAGAGTTGTTGTGAGAAAATATATTCAAAGTGCTTATAAATTTTAAAGCACTATATACATTTTATAGACAGGATAACACTAATGGCTAGCACTTATATGACACTGTAAGGTTTGCAAAGCACTTTCCAAATATCTCATTTTATCCTCACAACAACTCTGGAAAGTAGAGGCTATTATTATCCCCATTTTACAGATGAGGAAACTGAGGCAAATAGGAGTTAAATGAATTTCCCAGGGTCACATAGCTAGTAGGTATCTGTGGCTGGATTTTATCTTAAATCTGCCTGATTCCAGTTCCAGGGCTCCATCCACTGTGGCACTTAGCTGTTTCTAACGTGGAAAGGGTGCTGAATTTGGAGTCAGAGGACCTGGGTTTCTATCCTGGCTCTGCCAGTTCACTACCTTTGGGTAGATCATTTCGCTCCTCTGGGCCTCAGTCTCTATCATCAATAAAGTGAGAAGGTTGGGTTAAATGGCTGCGAAGGTCCCTTTCAACTCCATGATACTGTAAGTCCAAGAGGTCAAGAGGTGGAAGTGGACAGGAATAGAATTCCAGGTATAGGGGACAACCAATGTGAAGCCACAGAGAAGGGAGATGATATGTGGTAGATGTGGAATAGCTGCAATAAGGCTGGGAAGGTTGAATGGGATGTAGTTATCAAGAGGTTTAAATACCAAACAAAGGAGTTTGTAGTTGATCTTGAAAGTAATAGGGAGCCCCAGGAACTGAGTCAGGGAACTTTAGGCATGAACTTTAGAAAAATCACTTTGACAGCTGTGTGGAAGTTAGATTGGAGTGGAGAGAGACTTGAGGTAGGGACCGGAATTGTATACAACCGGCACTAGGGTGGTGGCTGAATGAGTGGAGAGAAATTGATTTATGTGAAAGATGTTGTAGAGATAGAAACTATAAGATTTGGAAACTTACTGGAGACATGGAGTGAATGAGAGTGAAGAGTCATTTTCTAGTGGAGAATGATTGAGGTTGCAGACTTGGAAGCCTGGAAGGATGGGAGTGCCCTTGCCAGACATAGAGATGTTCATAAGAAAGATAGGTTTGGTGGGAAAGAAAATGAATTCAATTTTGAACATGTTGAGTTGAGACACCTGTAGGTCTTCTAGTTGGAAATGTCCAGCGGATGTTTGGTGACATGGGACCGAGCTAGGGAGAAAGAGTAGGGCTGGATATATACTGTAGAGAATGAAGAACTCTGCATAGAAATGATAATTAGACCTTTGGGTGGTAGAGAGAGTGTAGAAAGAAAGAAAAGAGAAGAAAGTCCAGGACAGAATCTTAGTTTGTAAGGATGGCAGGGAACATTTCTTTCTAGAGTTCTCTATTTAACACCTAGCCCAGTGACACTTACCTTGACTTGCTTAACACTGTCAACCTTTTACTAGAAAACTTAAGGAATGGTATATCCTGGCTATTATATTTTCTACATAACTGTAGATAAAAGAAACCCTTTTGGTCATAACATGTGCTCTTTCTTGTCCATCTTTCTAAATGGTATTATTTTGCTTTTTTTGCCTTAGTGAATATAAATTAAATGTTTCTAAGTTGATTTTGACAAAAGTCTGCAATTGTGGTATATAACTGGAGATATTGACAAAGGCAAGTGAGATGGTTGTGTAATGATACCTCCTCCTCTCAATATCTCCTAGAAGTTATTTTAATAAAATCTCTAACATATTCTTATGAGTTTTTTTCTCCAAAAAGTGAAATTTAGGGAGGGGGAGGGATATGGATTAATGGTTTTGGTTAGTTGGATGATTGTAACTGTCTTTATTTATTTTTTTTTGGAGGGGTAGTAATTGTTTTTTGCTAATGATGAGATGGACAGGAGATCGAGAGCTAGGTTCAAGTCCCTTCTCTGACACATACTGGCTGAATGATGGTGGGCAGCCTCTCAGTGCCCCAGGCGACTGTCCAAGGCTGTAAGCTATAGATGAATCATTCATAGGCAATGGTGGAAGTGTTCACATTGAAACCTGCCTATACTTCTTGGTCTCTTTTCAGCCCCTCCATAGGTTACTTAAGCCATACCTTTGATATTATTCTATCTTTCTTTGCAAGGTTCCCATGTATTATTGCCTGTTTTCTTTTTTAAATATGGAGAGTTTGAGGCCTAAAGATGTAAAGCAATTTGCTTAGTCAAACATGGAGATGGTATATATGGGCATATGAGTATCAGTCCTTCCCCACCAGAGAGGTATGAAAACCTCTGAAAAGGTTTGACAATCTAAATGTCAGGGGCTAATATTTCAATCATCTTATCTGGGGGGAAATTTCTAAAATTGAGGGAGAGAGAGAGAGAGAGAGAGAGAGAGAGAGAGAGAGAGAGAGAGAGAGAGAGAGAGAGAGGCAGAGACAGAGAAAGACAGAGACACACACACACAGAGGCAGAGAGAGAGACAGGGAAACAGAGACAGAGAGAGACAGAGACAGAGATAGAAAGAGGCACTGGGAAACTGGCCTTAGTGTAAACTGAATCTGTGGGGGGAAGTAGTTACAGATTATACTAAATGACTCATATTCTGCAAAAGAAAACCCTTATAAAATAATGTTTTGTTTCTTCTCTACCCAGATTACAGATGCTCTGAAATGCAACCATACCTTCAAGTGTGAGCATTCCTATCTCTCGCACATTCGCTTCCTGTGTTCTCCAGGGAAAGCCCCCTTGGTGATGAGCCCTCCAGACCCCAAAGCTCCCCATACCAGGGATCTGGACCAATCTACCAACTTCCACAACCTAGCCAGAGACCTGGAGGTCAAAATGGCCACCCAGGAAAATACTCTGCACAGCCCTTTGCCCGAAAATAAGACACAAACCAATGAAGCCGAGCAGAGCCAGGTCCAGAAAATGGTGTTACTGGAGAAAACGAATCACTTGAGGAAGAGACTGCCCTCTGTTCCCTGCAGCAGGGAGGATGGAGGGGCTGAGCATGTGCTGTCAGCTGCCATATGGAAGCTCAGCCCAGTGAAGCAGTCATCCAAGAAAGCCCCCTGGGACCAGAAGCCCAGTGCTTTCACTGAGGTCAAGAGATTAAAGGACAAACTTCGGAGTGAGAGAGCCAGAGAGGGGGATCAAGGCCCTGGCTCAAACCAAGCTGGCAAAGAACAGCAACCAATGGATTGTGTCCTGAGTGGGGCAGGGAGTGCTTTCTCCTTTGTGTGGCCTGCCCGGGCCCTGGGCGAGCTTGGGAGCGCTTTCAGCAAACCAGTCAAGTGTCTGGCCCAGAGAATGCCACTAAGCTCCCAGCTCCCAGTCAGCAACTCGGCAGAAGCCCTGGGGGATCTGTCAGGGTTCATTAACACCATGGATGCTGTGTGTTGTGGAAATCTTTTGAATTCCAAGTTTTCCATCAGCGATTTGTGCAACTTACAAATGTTACAGGAGGGGGCCCCCCAGTGCAACACCTTCCCATATGCCTCGGAACTGTGGCCAAAGCCTGTAGCTCAGTTACACATATCTCCATCATCTGCCTCCTCCACCCCATCTTCCCCATCTTTGACGCTCTTGCCACCCACGTTCACATCACTTGGCATGGCTACCCAGAATTGGTGTGCCAAATGTAACCTCTCCTTCCGTATGACATCCGACTTGGTTTTCCATATGCGATCACACCACAAGAAGGAATACTCCTCTTCCGAGGTGCAGGCCAAGAGGAGACGGGAAGAGAAGCTCACCTGCCCAATTTGCCACGAGTATTTCCGAGAGCGCCACCATCTATCCCGGCACATGACTTCTCACAATTAGAGATGCGGCCGTGGACCGAATCAACCCCATCCCACGTGCTACTTGTATAACTCTGTTGCTGAAGGGAGGGATGGTCTTTGAATAACTTTAAAATGACTATTTAAAATGACTGACAATGCTGTCTCCTGGCTCAAAGATGGGATATTTACAAAAGATCAGAGAGGTTTGGTCTTAGTTTGAAAAAGACAACCAATTCACAGAGTCACAGAGTTGTTGAGTTTAAAGGGAGCTTAGTGGCCAACCCTTACATATGAGTCCTTGTTAATATATATTTTTAAGGAATGAAAATAATGAAATGAAGCTAAGATTATTGTTAATCCTCAATCATTGTACTTTTCAGACCTGTGTGCTGGTATAATACAGACTTTGTAACATTTTCAAAGGTGTGAATTGTTCAAACCATCCATACAGGAAATATCACCTCCATTTCCATTTCCTCATAAGGTATTAAATTCAGACATAGAGAGGGTAGAAAAACAGCACCAACTCTTCACCCCCCCCCAAAAAAAAACACGTGCAAAAAGTCTGAGGAATAAATGTACGTGGGATGGAAGAAAGTTGTGATTGGTAGTGGTATAAAGAAAAATGAATCTCTTAGAGACTAGTTGAGTATTCTCTTCCAGGGACAGCCCCTTCCATTGGCATAGGGAGACAAACTTCTTTCTCAACAACCTTGGAAAGCAATACTTCACTCTACCCAAAGAGTTGTTTCAGACTCACAAACATCCACTGTTGGAATTACCATGCTGCCTTTCTATTCACAATACCCTAGTTTTCCTAACTAGGGGCATATGTTCAGGAGGAGCAAAATTACCCACAATCTCTGTCTCAGGACACTGCCCTCTATGAAAATCAAACTGTGAACACATGTTGGTTAAATGGCTTTATATTTGCAAAGATACATGACCATAAAGGATCACTCAGAAATTGAAAGGGGAGAGGATTGAAGCAAAACAAATAAAAGCAAGAAACCTGGCTAGAGAAGGTCCTTACCATCTCAGGGGCTGGTCAGTGTCCAGAAGAAACAGGAGATGCGGTTCCAACCATGTTGGTATCTTGCAAACTGTGTTGTTGCCCAAGTGGGGCCCATTTCACTATGATCTCAGTGAAGTGTGCTCTGGTGCTCAAATGCCTGCTTGTCTCCTGTCACGTTGGAAAATCCTTTAGAACTTGCTGCCATCCAGGTGTGTGCATTTCCAATAATGTTAGGTTTATGACGGGTGGCATGTCTGCAGGCAGCAGCTGTATGTAGCACAGGCAAATGTGGGGATTCTTTAATATGTTATTTGACATACTTTTCTTCCTTTAGAGAGCAAGACCCATTTGAACCACTCACTGAGATAAACCTTCAGTCATTTATATTCTGGATGGGGAAGAACATAGGCTTTATTGCATTGTAGATGACCGAGTAGTCCATGAAATTTTCCTATTTAATGTTGAATTCAACTCAATTCATTTCAACAAATGTTTAAGTTCCCACTTAAATGCAATGCAAGGATACATGACTGTACGTGATCACCCAGAAATGGAAAGGGAAGACGGTTGCAAGAGAAATAAGTAAAAGCAAGAAACCTGGCTAGAGAAGGTCCTCACCATCTACTGGGCTGGTCAGTGTCCAGAAGAAATGGGGGATGTGGTAGGCACTGTGCGAGGCACTGGGAGTACAAGGCCAAAAATGAGACACTCTCTGCCCCTAAGGAACTTACATTCTACTTAACAGGAAAGGGAACCTACTCAATGCATGCCCAGATAATTAAATACAAAATATATACAAAATAGTACAAAGTAATTTCATGAAAGAGAGAGATTTGGCCACTGAGGGGATCAGGACAGGCCTCATGCAGAGGTGAGGTAAGAATGCATCCAAAAACGCAGGCCCACTTGTACAAAAGCACAAAAGTGCCATGTATTGGGAGCAATTAGGTCATGCCTTCATCCAAGATACATGCTACAGAGTGGTGCTGGTGTTTATCACTTGGGGACACTGGTTTTAGTGCAGCTGGTTAGTTATCATTTAAGCAGATGCCATATGAGCCTGTGGACAAATTGTTCTCTCCAAGGCTAAGTCTATTTCTAGGAGAAACATTTAAGAAACTGTCAGATTTCCTGAGTGCTCTAGGAATTAATCTGCTACAATGTTACCATGGCTGGTACTTTGACACAAATAAATTTCAGAACACAGATGGCAAATCTCAAACTTCAGTGCTTTGTGCATTGGCCAAGAGGTGGTAGGGCAATTTTAAAATTGTTTTCTTTAATATTTTTAAAAATAGTTGTCAGTTAACTTCATGGTTTGTCACTTTGACTGACATTAGTGTGCTGCTGGTATATGTTGAACCACCAGCTCCTCAAAAAATTGTATGCATGAAACACTTTCTACTCTAATATGCATTGTTAACATTTTCTCCATCACTTTCTTAAATATAGACTATCAAAAAAATTCCCAATAAATCAGGCCTTTATTGGTAGAGTTTTCCAGTTTCTGAGGTATAAAGCTCCCACTGAAAATTTTACAATAGGCTCTTGTGAGCTTGTTTGAGCTGGCTCCAGCACATTCCTAAATCTACATTTTTAGATCACTCCTGCTGATTTCACCAAAGGTGGCAAGGTGTTTCAGCAGCAGTCTGAAGGAAGGAATTATGAAGTTGCCAGCTATCAAAACAGCTTCACCTGCATACAGCTGCCTTGTTCAAAATGGCAAAGTACTTAAATCATTTGTCTTCAATTCCTTTATTTCTCTTTTTGCTTCCCTGATCCCCAAGATATCAGTGTACAAATGCCAACCTCAGGTTGCCCTACTTTCCCACGTTACACAGACACATCCGCAGCTACCAAAGATGCCTTATTTCTTACATTTTTCTTACTCTTTCTTTCTTCAGTCCATTAGAACTCATCTATATCTCATTCCTTTAGGACTCTGCTAGGTTATTAGCTAACTGGCCAACAGCTTAATGTATTCCCTCACCTGCTAAATTTGTAGAGTAACAGTATATTTCTCATGGGATTGTTGAGAGAATCGAATGAGATAACATGTAAAGCAATTTGGAAATCTCATAGCTCTCTATAAATGACAGCTTACCATTATCATTATTATTGTTAATTACTTATGTTAGGTTCTAGATGGCATCTATCCCTTTTAACCATAAATCTAAATCTCTGGCTCCCCCAGGTTCTGATAAGTGAATCCCTTTCCTTATCTTCCCAAGGCTTCATGCTACTCCTTGTAGTCTCCTTGCCATGCTCTATCTATCTATCTATCTATCTATCTATCTATCTATCTATCTATCTATCTATCTATCATCTATCTCTCTATCATCTATCAACTATCTGTCTATTATCTATCTACTGTTTATCTATCATCTATCTACTATCTATCATCTACGTACTATCTTCTATCTACCTACTATCTATCTATCTATCAATCTATCTATCTATCCGTCTGACTATCATCTGTCTGTCTATCTACCCATCTATCTACCTATCTGTCTGTCTATCATCTATCTATCTCTCTATCTATCCATCCATCCATCATCTATCCTTCTATCAACCAGACTGGCTCAATCATCTAGCTATGTAAATCTCAGATTCTGCAATCCTCTTTGCTCATGGTATTTCCTCTTTCAAGGTTAATGATTAAGGAAGGCTTTAAGTCAGGAAGACCTTTCCTGATGAGCCTTATCGAATCATGCCACGTGAATAGCCACCCCCACTCTGTATAAGACAGGTCCTTTACTCATGTTATTCATAGAGAAAGTGCAATTTGGAACTCACCAATAAGCAACCACCACACCTGATTTCCTTCCTTGGTATCTGAGAGTCCTATCAATTTTCTCTCAACCCTGGGAAAGAAAAACTCTCTTTCTTCCAATTGTGGATTTTCGAAAGGTGTTTGCCTGAACATCAAAATATTCTGAGAGAGAAGCGTAGTTTCTGCACAGGACACAGCAGGTAAACATTTTGTACTAAGAGAGTATTTGAAATAGTTACAGTAAATGCATTCTCTTCATTTTGTATCAATGTCACCAGTTAAGCCAGCTAACCAGGATAGGTAAGGATGGTTAAGAGCTGGAGGTTAGACTTCATTTGTCTGGCCTGATACCAATGAACTGTTCAGTCAGCTAGTGACAGGGAACATAGACATGCTGAAGCAGATGGATGTATCCTTCTTTCCCTCCCTTCTCTTCCACTGATTCAAGAAAAGAAGTCCCTGGCAGCAGCCTGAGGGTAGAGTGGAATGTCTACTGTTGCTATGGAAACTCTGGGGCAACCATGGACTCGGCTGAATTTTCAGGCTGTCTTAGGTGTCTCTCCTCACCTAAGTCGTTAGCATCAGGAGGCTGCTCCCACCTGTGACACGGGTGTTTTCAAATGGGGTAATGACCAGTGTGGTTATAAGTCTTTGGCTGTGGCAGCAGCCGTGGATATAGCTTTGTGATGCCCAAGAAAGATTCTTTTAGCTCTGGGGGGGTGGTAAGGAATTTCACTAGAGAGATATGAGAAAGAATTGCTTTTACTTTGTGCCTCTAGGGTTGACCCCTTCCTTACTCCATCCATCCACGATGCTTTGGGGGACTATATGGCAGCTGGATGCCATGGGCACTGATGCTGTGGATGAGGGGATAATCTCTTTTTGTATCCATGTAACTCATGTTAGCTAGTTAATTCAGTAGGCTTAGTTGGTTAGGGTGGTGAGAACACTGAACCAGGCAGATATCAGGAGACCTGAATTTGCTCATTGACTCACACAACCATGCCACCTCCTGGAATGACTTCTAATCTCAGTTCTATTCAATTCAATTCTGTTCCATTCTTCTCAATTTCATTGCATGCAGGACATTTTGTTAGGTGTAGGGGACACAAAACCAAAGGTAAAGCTATCCCTTCACTCAAGAAACTATAACTTTTTGGGGGCAGGCAAAGTGTATACACAGATAAGTAAATACCAAATCATTTCAGGCCAGAAAGGCTTCTAGTCAGAAGAGGGGACCCACCTGAGATGAGCCTTGAAGGAAGTGAGGGATTCTAAGAGGCAGAGGGAAGGTGGCTATGCATTCCAGTCATGGAGAGTAGCCTGGGCAAAGATAGAGAAGTGGCCTATTCTTGCAGTGGGGTCAGGCTCTCCTTATTCCAAACTGAACTCTTTATGATTTCAAACTAAGCTTCTAGATAGATAGATATTGCCTCATCCTTGGGGGGAGGAACTGAGGGACATGCTGAGAAGTGTGTGACCTGGTTTGACCAGAAATAGTACGGTTGATTTCATCCAGGGCTCTCAACTTTTCCTGATCTCCTATCCCTGAATCGCTGCGGATACTCTGAGAGTATGACTGGGTACAGTGTTGTAGGAATTGCTGACTTTCCATAATTCCAGTGTGGTGATTAATTTTTGCTTCCGTCTCATGATTTTATCCTTAGCTCTCTCTGATGCTGACTTATGGGAACCACCAATTTGTCAGGCACTTAATAAACATTTATTAAGCACCTACTATGTGCCAAGCACTGTGTCAAGCACTTGAGGACTACATAGAAAAGCAAAAGTCAGTCTCTGCTCTTGAGGAGCCCACAGTCTAATGAATTTGAGTGAAGGAGTAGATGATATGGTGTGTACTTTACTTATGGGTGCTAAAGGACTGCTGAAACTCATCTGGAGTATTAATAGAGTAAAAGAAAATAACAAAGACCATTTTTTATGGCCCTTTAATGTTTGCAAAACACTTTGGAAACACGATCCGATTTGATCCTCACAACTGTCCTTGTAATGTAAGTACTACAGCTGTTATTACCTCTACCCCTAACAGATGGGACTTGTAAGTGACACATGCCAGCTGTATGGCTCTGGGTAAATCTCTTAACTTTTCAGTGCTCTAGGCAACATTCCAAGAAGGTACAATCTGCATCTGGAGAGGAATTTCCTCTTTCAGGATTTCCTTATACTAATGAAATCACCAGTCTAGCCCTCCTCCCTGTGGGTATCTAAATCCCTAACCTTATCCTTATCTTTATCTCTATTCCTATCTCTATTGGAAATCCCAACCCTATTTTAACCAACCAGGAAACTGAGGCTGAGATTACCCAGGATTACACAGTTAGCAAGTACTTGAGGAAGGATTAAAATTCTTATCTTCCTGACTCCAACTCCAACACGGTATCCACTAGGCCACACTGATTCTCAGTAAGGGCATTAATAATTCTCATTTACATAGCACTTTACCATTGACCAAGAGGTTTCTTTACCATAGTCTTATGAAATAAGTAACTCAAATGTTTCCCCTCAGGGAAAATGTAAATAGGGGTAGGCAGTGTTTTATTCTGGCCCTTTTTTATCTCCAGTGCCTTAATAATAAATGCTTAATAAACTTCTGTTGAATTTAAATGAAATATCATTATCGCCATTTTACAGACGAGAAAACTCAGGCTCAAAGAAAGTAAGTGACCTATTTTAGGTCACGTAGCTTGTAAGAGGATCCAGAGGACTTGAATTGTCAGGTAGGAAGAGTGGATTCTTGGTGAAGAGTGGGTCAGACAAGATGACCCTGTCCCACTTGGTGATCTGGGATTCTGTTACCAGAATCTTCTGACTCTGAAGCTACTTTTCCTTCTATTCCACTAGGCTATCCTGAAGAAATATGGCAATGACTTTCTATACATCTGTAGTTTCCCATTGTCTTTGCTCCTGCTGGATTTCCCCTTGCTGCCTTTTCAGGCTTCCCATGGCACGCAATATACTTTCTGACCTTGCTCTGTAGCAGGAGTTGTTAATCTGGTATTTATGAACTTACCCCCTCGCCCCCTTTCATAACTGCATTTCTATATAATTGTATATATTGACAACTGTATATTTATCACATGTTTATAACTATTTCTATATAATTGAATTTCTTTGTAATCTTATATATTTTATTTTATTCATTTTATAATAATAATAATTGCTAGCATTTATGTAGCACTTTAAGGTTTGAAAGTGCTTTAAAAATATTATCTCATTTGATCCTCACAACCCTAGGAAATAGGTGCTGTTATTATCCCCATTTTGTAGATGAGGAAACTGAGGTTTATAGAGGTTATGTGATTTGCCCAGAGTCACACAGCTAGTATGTGTCTTAGAATAGATTTGAACTCAAGTCTTCCAGATTCTAGGTCTAGTGCTCTAACCACTGTGCCATTTAAAAACATTATTCAGAATAGTGGTCCATAGGTTTCCCAGACTGTCAAAGGTGCAAAACTTTAAAACATGAGTGGACTACAAAATTCTAGAAGCTTCCCTTCATCTCCCTCCCCATATTCAGATTATTAACACATGCCCAGATTCCTAGATTCTCCTCTCTCCTCGTGTAAATTGAATAGAAGGTGTTTAGTACAGATATTCATGGGAGGAAGGTAAGGGAAGAGGCATTTGTTAATGGCTTACTATGTGCCAGGTACTATGCTGA